ACGCTGTTCACGACATTAAGATGTCCCTTCCACGACCGCAAAGTTAGGTACATCGATCAGGGTTATGTGAAGGACTCAAATGTAACTTTTTTATGAGTTGGCAAGGAAACTTATAGGACAATTGATTGCTGTCATTTTTGCTGCATTCCTAAGTTAATCCTTATTTATCAATAGAGCGGACAAATAAGGTACATAATCAGGGTAAAACGTTAGTGATCAACAGGTGACCATACAATTTTGATGGTGTACCGTATTGGACCCGAGACCACAGGTGATCATCTTCATTTTCCAGTTGTAGATGCAAAAGTGATGGTCACCTATGACTATAAACGACTTAACTCTGGAAGCGGGAATTTCTAAACAGGCCTCAGAATCGAATACTCTTGACAATTAGGAAGAAAGTGAATTTCGGCACATAATTCTAATTTATCGACCTACTATCTCAACCAAGCTTTTCTAGTGAAAAGTCAATTAAGGTCAATTAATAAATGGTTGAAAGAAATAACGAGGCTTCTCGACCCTATTGGAACAGAATCTGTTTGGTAGCAAATTTCTTCGTTGTGGACCAGGGTCGTCGAGGACGACCCCCACCCTCCCTATGCTGTGCTCGCTAGTCATTGTAATACAATCGGCGCCATCATTTGTGTACTTGTGTGGATGTGATTATGGGCTTCAGATAACGATTCCTCTCATCTTATAGCTACTACTAAGCCCTCCCATTTGTCCTCTCTAGGGCCAAGCTCTTCATAAGCATAGGTAAGTACACGGTTTTTGAGTGGTACAGGTTCGATTTTGGGTCACGTCCGAAACAGAACGTCTTGTTCATAACTACCCACAACACCCCTATGGTATCTCCTTCCAGAACCTATTCAACTGATTGGTTTTGTTCCATGAAAAAGAAAAAAGGGTAATACCTTGACAATGAAGTTGATCGGTTAGGTCATAAAGAGCAGAGAGCATCCACAGGACATTCCAAGGGACCATCACCGATGAAGTTTTCCAGAACAAATGAGAAAAAAAGTGATGGCGAAATCCTATCTCTCATTTAAAAGTGGGCTTAAATAGGTGTGACTCATCGGTAGAAGATCAAGATGATGAAACGTCCCACCACAGAGCCGTCCGATGAGTCGGTATTTGCACAACCTTTCAGTAAGAGAACTTTAGTGAGCTACTCAACTGTAAGCAGTAATTATAAAAAGTAATTATGAAAAGCAAGATATTACATATATCATTATGAAAAGATAGTTTGGAGCTGAATGACTGTTCTTTGTTAACAGCTAAATATTGTCATGGTTTATGATCGCAGAATTTGGATCTTTGCCCTTGTGGTTTCGCACTCCTAGTCATTGAACCATCGAGACCCACGATCTGAGAAGACTCAAGGGGTTCCAAGCATTACAGATAAAAGCACTGTGCCCAAAATCACAGGTTCACGTTCAAGTCCACTCCAGCTCTGATCACCACACCTTTTTCTGGAATACAAAGCTCTTTTTTCTGTCTAATCAAATCCTTCCCAAATCCGCCCACACAGTCGGTTCTCACATTCGGAAAGACATCCTAATATATAATGCCGAGAAATTGTACAGATATACTGTACGTTTCTTCAACTTCCAGTGATTAGCTCCTTTTCAAAGTCATCTATCCACTTCTTCGCTGTCAGACTCTTGTCTCTTCGATTGCTACAGACATTCTCGAGCCTTATTCTTTCTTTTCCTCGCACCTACTTCCCTTCTTAATCTTTCAATCTTCATATTCACCTTATTTTGAAGCATTGTAAAAAGTATAATCACTTGCCATGGCTGCAGATGAAGATGCAGCGAGACTAAACTTTTGAACATAAGGAGCGGATTAAGTACCGAAGCTTGTAGCCGTCAATGACGACAACGTCTTTTGGGGCCACAGACAACCCCTCCCTGGTCTGGGGTGGTGTCCTCCGCCGACGTTTTTACTTGGTCTTCACAAGTGATCAGAATCAAGACCCACAAAAAGTAGGGAAGGTTCTCTCCCTCCACACGGTCTAGAGTAGATCAACTCCTTCTCTCTCCTTCTCTCTTTCTCTCTACCACTCTCTCTCCTTCTCTTTCTCTCTCCCCCTCGCTGTCTCTGTGAATAATCACAAAATATTATTATATCTTTCTTCCTAATTTCTTGGAGTTTTCATGCCCATCCCTTTCCCATTCTCTCCCGGTCATTAGCACTGGGTTCGAAAGGTCCCTCATCTTATGGATCTCGAAACAATTCGCTGTGGAATTAGGGGAGGCATGCTAAGATGCAATCAAACATGCCACGTGAAATAGATACTGTTTTTTCTATGCATTTTCGTTCTCTGCTATACGTTACTGCTTGCCTACTGCGTGCTAGGGATCCCAATGAGATAGTAACATGTGATGTCATTATCAAACGTAAAATCTCTGGCATGTCGAATCGGACTCAAAGTCCAACAACAATACGAAGTCAGAAGATAAACAGTTTCACTGATATACATGGCTCAAGATCAGAAGAATCCATAGCCGTTCCCAGGTTGAGATTAAGCCGCTGTTTGTTGCAAGCGTAGATACCTCCTTTGTTTACAAACGGATTGGGCAGGAAAACAAGCAAAAGATAAAAAGGAAAGAGAAAGAAAAACTTTTCTGGGAAGCAAATATCATTTTACCGATTACTGATAAATCTCAAAGCCAGTAATACGATTAGTTTTGTGATAAGGTCACCGTAAGAACTCAGAGTATCGCAGCGGCTTATTCCCAACCCAGGAGTTTACTGTACTTGTTGCTCTGCAGTTTGTCGTATGTTAGTGGGGTGTTCGGAAAAAGCCAACAAATATTTTACAAACGCCCCTTTTTTTCTGGAATGTTTTAGAAGTTTTCTTGAAATAGTATAAAAGGACACATTTCATACGCACAGCATATCGGATAACTCATGTTATCGGATATGCTGATTGGTTGACTCGAAAGGGCTCAACTTCGACTTTCCTGTTTAAGGCTCTGAAGCATGGGGAAGAGGCGTGCACAAAAGCGTTCAGAAGCGGCTCAAAAGCCTAATCCTTCGTCAACGTTTCAATCGGTTTCGCACATGAGTGGTTAAATTTGATTTCGTGCGGAAAATTTGAAAGGCTCCCTTTTTGAGGGCCCTCAATATGTGAAACTACTGTCGACAAGTGCGTGAATTCCTCAAAAGCAGAAACGAGCGTTAATTTATTCTTCAAGCGAAAAAAGGTTAAGTTATACAATTTGTTACGATGTTCACGAATATTAATAAGCCATCTGTGTACATCCCTAGTGGTTCTTTGGCACAAAACATCCACTTGTCCCTTTTTGCATATACTTGCATATACTAAGTCGCTTGGAAAGATTCTCCTAGGCGCCTCAAACAAGAAGCCCAAAGATGAGCCTCGATCTGCTCAATCGACTACGACATCATGAAGCGTCCTCATAAGTTCTGAACGCACTAGTATTAGGTTGATGCACAATTATTGCTGATTTTTTCGCGGCTTTTCTTCTCTCGACATAATCTAAACATTGAGTTTGGGTTTTTTATAGAAATGATTCCCTCTACAAAAATAGGTCTAGAAAAAAATATTCACAAAATTATGCTCTACTACTTCGAGAAAGGTTGGAAGGTGGCATTTCGCCATCTCAATAACTTCTCGGCGATGGAACAATCAGCCAAAGCCAACCAAGAAATGGGATCTGCTCCTAAATCTACCATATTCTGCGGCAGAAACTTTTATGGATTATTACATCAACCGTTCGTTGGAAAACTGGATAGGGTAAAGAATATTTGGATAGGGTATACGTCGATTTGGATGACTTGATGACTGATGTCAAAGCGTGGATCGCCTCCAAAGATTAAAACTTTTTCGTCTTTAGAATCCGACTGCCTAGCAAATGGGAAGCAGTGCTTGACGTGGTTGGTGGATAAGTTCCGGAGTAATTATTTGAACATGCTTTAGTTCAGTATTTTTATCGTTTCTTTAAATAAAAATTGTTGCAAAAAATCCGAAATAGTCACAGACTTCTATAGGACTTTTGTAGAATAATTCAGTGAAATGAGGACATTTGCAGAATTTCCATAAAATACTTCGCAAACTTCCTCGGAAAATTAACAAAGCAGCTTGAATTACCATAATCAGGGCATTCGGAGATGAAAGGATAAGTGGCAATTTCCTTTCGCCTTGCATTCGAACATATTTAATAGGAATAAATGTTGGAATAAATAATAAATATTGAGACTGCTCAAATTTTCGAGTAATCACAACAAACATGAAACAAAAAATAAACAGGTATGTAAAAAATTAAGTAGGTTACCCATCCCAAGCACAAGATGGAACAGGAGTCCTGCTGGAAACAGAAAATTCAGCTCGAATAAAAACTGGAAAAAATGAAAAGCCCTTCACAAAGTACGTCATGCATTCCGTTTCTGTAGGTGATACTCGACGTTCTAGGGGTGTTCGTGCTCCAAACAGACATCTGAGGGACTAAAAAACCAAAGAGACAAGGCATTTTTATATTTTTTT